TCATGCTGTGAAAATAGAAAAGTGGCCTTGACCTTGAGCACAACTTGGGTACGGAAACATAATCAGAGGGGCACATGCAGCCCGCTTTGATGTAAAATGGGTCGGACAAGTGAAGGTCCACCTGTTTAATTTTGTGCATGTAAATGTGTAACATTAAGAAAAAAGTTCTGATAGCTCACTTTTATTAGTAACTAAACTTTCTGTAGTAGACGAAAAATGTATCCATTATGAAACTCCTGTGGTGTAGCATGGATGGCTGCGGGGGAGGTCTTTAAGAGCAGAAAAAGCTGTAAGACTAAAAAAATTACAGAAGTGCAAAGATTTATGGCCTCTTTCACCCTTTCATATGTTCCGAAGCCAAAGCCTATGCCGGGACAATTCTGGCCCCCAGACCTGATGTTTGACACCTTGCTCAAGGAGGAGCAGTGATTCTTTGTGACTTGTGACAGGACAGACAAACAGATGAAGGGACACCTCGCAGCGTTATGGGTTCATCAGACAAGTTAAAAACGATCGATAATAGCTTGCAGTATTTAAATTTCATAATAAAGTTTCTTTTTGCTCACTAACAAAACATGTTTTATTAGTGTTGAAACCACATCGACCTGCTGAATGTTTACACGTTGCGCTGTCCTGCACGGTGCTGGACGGGATTCTTTTAACAATAGAAATGGCTGGAGGTGCTGCAATTATTTGCACGCCAGATTTCCATTGTCTCTCTTTGTGAAATCCCTTCTGCTGCCACACAAGCTGTCTTTCCCTAAACTCAATCACAAAGATTTATATGGCTGATGGGATTAGTTTAAGCCATTAGGAGTAGTTAATGGTCTTTCCCGGTGTTGGTAAGTAACACTGACTAATTGACCAGGGCCAGCAGACAGCTGACACCGGTTCACAGCAACAAGTGGTTCCTGCTGACATGAAGTTAGGACCTGCAGAGGGACAACAAACAGGGTTCACGCTCCTGAATGCTCGGCTGAATTGATCTGGATTTTTTCCCCCACCATTTAGCTGAAATTTAAAAGGACTTGGTGCTCACAGGTAAGACTCATAAATGTATAAAACATACATGACTTTGGAAGGCAAAATGTCAAATATTAAATTGTGAGAGGGACCCCTGCTGTAAGACGGGGACAATTTAAATATTTTGAGAAGTATATGTAAATATACTTCTCAAACATAAAATTACATCTATTTTCCCCATGTTATGTTAATTATGTGATGATTCAGGTGATTAAATCAAATTAACTTGTGTTACAGTTGCTCTGGGACTGCAAGTGATAGCTGTTTTTCCATTTTTGTTCTGCTTTTTGACCAATAAACTGCCTGAAAACAGTAAAATGTTTCTTAGAAGTTTAGTTGATGATCATATAAAACGATGAAATATTAACATTAGATGAGGTGAATAAAACATTTCTCAGAAACGACCTTAACTGTTCAGCTGTCGTTTGTGCCAGTTTGTTTTACTAATGACATGTTAAAAAATAAAGGATGCAAATTAATAACCTTTTTTTTTCTGAGCATGAAAAAAAAGAGCACATGTCATGTCAGAGGCGAGCCCCGGTGCTATCTGTGCCCTCCGATGACACAGCAAGATGTTTCCAAAGCCTTATTCACTCTGTTTGCTGTTCACCTAACAAACAGCTCCTTTACGAGATTAAAGGATTTCTGTGGCACGCTGACATGCACGAAATTTAGAGAACATAGGAGGTGTATCCTCTCGCTAATCTTGTCTTTATGAGAAAGGAGGGATCAGGCTATTGGATTGCTGCAGCGAAGACAGGTTGTCGGAAAGGAGTACACCCGACTTTTTTTTATAGTTTTTAAATGTTTGTTGTCCCAGTGAGCAAAACTAAAGAGCCCACTGTGCACTGCAAGCACAGAGACCAATACAGTTGTCTGCCACTGTGTTAATACTGTGTGCTGGTTAATTACCTGTTGATATGAATGAAATAGGTGAGGACTGTCTTATGATCAGGTTAATTTCTGCTTCTTTCCTATGTGTCCCACATTTACAATAAATCACTAGAGATTAATTTTCTCTAATATTATATTCATCACTTTGCCTCCCATTCACTAACAGCATTACTAATCATGTGTCCTTGAAACGGATGGATTTTAAATGAATTAAATGGATTGGCACACAAACTGCCTCAATTGGATTACCATCTGTGATGCAAGCTAACAAGATACAGTCATTTGCATGTGATTTGAAAAGCAAATTGCCTAAAAGGTTTACTCAATTCTGTACAATATGTTTTAGAAAACATTCTTAATGGTTGGTGACCTTAAATCAAAAACCACAATGAACTGGAGATCGGGGAGCTCTGTAGTATCCAAAACTTCCCAGGAAAATCATCCTGTTTGAAAGTTCTCTGCAGTTTCAATATAAGAGACGGTGAAACGCTTTAAATGGGATTTTCTGATACTCTAAATGAAGCCAATTTACCAACATGTAAACAGATTTAGGGCAAGAAAACAAGGCTTATGTTGTGGTTAACTAACTTACCCTATAGTGTCAGACTTTAAAATCTCCTGCTCTACTGCATGCGATCTGCCATCTTAGCTCAGAAACTAAAACTGTCAATTGTTTCTGTCTCATCAGTCTACTTCCTGCGACCATAGCCTGCTCCGTCAACTTCTCCACATGCATCAGAACATCCCCCGGCATGCCTTCACTCCCGTCCTGCAGCAGTCCTCAAGCATCCTGCCAAATCCAGCATTGATGGGACCTCAGGACAGAAATGTGAGATGTGATTACTTTAACTATCCTCATGTGAAGCTGCTCAGACTTGGAAGTTATTCCAGGCCCCTCGCCTGCTTTTACTTACTCCTCACTGATATCCATCTTTTACATCTTACTACAGTTTAACACAAACCTGCCCGGACAAACAATGAGGACTTTCTTTGCACCCATCACAGCCTCGCACAGAGCAACAACTAGATCCTCTAACTCAACAGTGAGTAAAAAACTCAAGAATCTCAGTAACTAAAATATATAAAATGTTACTTCGCTTTTCTTTCAAATTGATGAAATTGTTTTCATTAAAATGAATGATTTCTTTTCCAGATACGAGGGAGATGGGGCGCACTGCACGTGTGTATTGCGTGGAAAATTTACCACCACAAACAACTCAAGGTGAGCGCTAAATAAATTTAATTGTTATTTTTTTATTGGGATTTGTGGTAGTTTTGAACGTCTCTACATGTTTTGGGAGTTACGTGTGGAAGCATTGGTGATCCCATGCAGACTGTAGGCTCCGGTTCCTGCTCTCAGCTGACAGAAGTGGCACCCTGGTGGTCTTCTGCCAGTCGCTCTGCTGTCGCCCATCTACTTTACGATTGGATTTGTTGTGTATTCAGAGATGCTCTTCAGCACCTCCTCATACTCTTATTTTGAGCGTAATTCATTTCCTAAGAGATAAACTACCTGAGCTTTATTGTTTTTCAGCTCAGAGGTATGTCACAATAATACTGTTATTGTGAATTGTATTGCTCACAGTATTGTGAAAAGTTCGCAGAGGGATAATATTAATGGATCATACTGATCTTGTATTGCACAGCTGATTTGTCTGATAACCAACATGTAATATTTAATTTACCAGAAATTGCAACAAATGCACAGCAGTCAACAGGAGCTGACACCTGAGTGTCCTGCTAGCAGTCCCTCTGCCTCTGTGCAACAAAAGGAACTACACCAGCCGTGTGCACACCCATGTTCAGGTGAGTTTCACGCCAGCAATGATTAAGTAGAAATGTAGCACTGATCCTTTTCTTGGACTTAGACTCTTCGACTGAATTCTCTTCAGGTGGAAGTAAGAGTGAAACTACAAGCTGTGACTGTTCTGTCTCTGACCTTCAAACGCCTCCACCAGTGTCTACCCACAGCCGTGGGAACAGGGAGAAACTTGACTGTGAGAAGCAGGACCAGCACTCAACACCTGATAAGAAAGAGAAACACCAGATCCACCAATCTAGCCCAACAAAGAATTTACCTCATAAAGAGAAGTTCAGGGAATTAATAGTCACTTCTGACCTTGATGGCAGACACAGCGGATCGCTCGACAGGAAGAGGCAGTTTGAGTGTGAAGGCATCAACAAAGCAAAGAGAATGAGGCACGAAATGTCCAACAGTCCGTTTGGTTCTTCTCAGACTTTGCTGTATTATCCATCTCCATTCATCACAACTTATACACATCCACCAGCACACAACATGCAAGTGCAACACACTAACATGAGTGATTGCTCTTTCCTGTATCCTAACAGCATTAGATTTAACGCGTCTTATCCAGACACCAAGACGCATCCCTGCCAGACTTCTTCATGGGAGACAATGAGGGACACACACAGTTTCCATTTTAGGAAACACACCCTTAAAGACTACTCACTGAATACCTGCAAGGCAATCAGGAAACCTCTTGTAGCAAGAGGTATCACGTCACCTCTTTATTTCCTTCGAGTGAGGGAGACACTTCTGTCGAGAGAAGTGTCAACACCGCTGCAGACGCCAGCGGCCTCATACTGGCTCTGATGCAGTATTGGGACCCTGAGTCTCCAGAGTAGGCTCAGAAAGGGAGAGCTCACAATCTCAAATTTCATCTCTCACTTCAGTTTTATTTATACCGAGCCAAATAAAAACAGTCACCTCAAGGCACTAGGAATCTCTGAGTAATCAGCCAGAGTGGGAGAAAGCACCTCTGACAGAACCAGGTTCATCGAGGGCAAGCATGTCCTGGAACTGGGTGAAGTGAAGGAAAAATTAAGGATAATGGAAAAAACAGCAACATTTCAAACTCTTAAAGACATAAAACAATGGCTTATAAATGCATGTTGAATGTTTTCAAGGAAGGTCTCCCAGCAGTCTGAGCCATTTGCTTCATAGCTGAAGGGTTGATCCAGCTCTGAATGTAAGCTTAACCTAAAAGCTAAGTTTAATCCAATCTTAAAAGCAGACTGGGTTCCCTAACTCAAGCTGGGAGCTGGTAACAGAGATCATTAGGACATGATGGGTACTATGAGGTATTTAAAAATATATATTTACAGCGCCTGTCTTGTGTTCACTGGTCATTTAGGTTTCTGTGGTACTCCACACAGTGAGCAGCACTGATTATTTACACCTTAAAGTGTAAGCAGATTCATGTTCATGTGCTTACTTTTTTTAAGTTGGGCTCAGGTTGGCCTCTAAAAAAAAACCTGGAAAATGAAAAACTGCCAATTTATGGAGTTTATGGAGATTCTGTCTGTAAGGCTGTATTTTGCACATAAGCTTTGAGCTAAATGCTAAAAGTGAGGATGTATGAATAGATGTGGATTAACCCTCATTAGCATCCCTAAAACCACAAAGCCACAAAAAGCCACAAAAACATGGCACGATCCTTTCTTGTTTCAAAAATGTATTTAACTGTGTAACAATAAAATTCAACAAAGGTCACAACAAAAAATAAAGTCTTCGGAATTCAGTGCCTGGAGAACATTTCATGGAACAAGCTTTCTAGTGCTTTTAACTCTTCCCCCATTCATAAAAACTTTAACAGACATTTTTATTAATTGCATAAAGCCTACACTGGGTGTGGGTCATCTGACCCAGTGCACAGTGAACACTTAAACCACATCCATGCCGAGGCCCCTCGCAACCTCCGTCAGAGCCTGGACTGCTCCGGAAGCCCCAAAACCATCACAGTCCTCCTGCATCAGTCCTGCAGACTCGTCCTCAATGTGAGGAATGGTGCTCATCACACAGTAGACAGGAGAGTCGCTGCCTCTGGGGCTGGCTTGAGATGACATGTCCTCACCTCCTGAGAACTCTGAGGAGTAGGAGGAGCTGGAGGAAGGCGAGGAGGATCCTGTGGGAGAGCTTCGGCCGCTCTCCAGCGTGACAACAGCGCTCTCGTCCTGACTGCTGCCACTCAGACTTTTCTGAAGGCTCTGAGGCTTCTTGGCCATGTTCTTCATGATCTCCTTTGTCACTTCAACAGTCTCAAAGCGCACCATATTTAACTTCAGGAAACCATCGACATCCTTCCTGTACCTGTATGACAGGAGAGGAGAGGAATCCATTTGAGTTTTTACTTTTTTTCAGCTCTACTTAAATTATATTCGTCGCACCCAGAGGACTGTAAAGCAGAGAGGATGACTATTACCACAGGTGACTCACCTAAAGCGGGAATGTCCAGAGGGCCACTTCAGCTCATGCTTCTTACGAAGGTGGAGTGTAAGAGTGTAACACCAAGAGAACACCTTATCACAGATATGGCATTTATATTTAGCCATTCCCCCAACCTATTGGTCATCAACAAAAAACCATTAGTATATCTACAGTCACAGCAGGCTGAGATGATCTGACCAGGTAATATGTTGGACGACACTGTGTTACAAACCTCATGGACTCTCTTGAAGTGCTGGCTCATTGTTTGGAACGTATGACAAGTATAATCACAGCCCTCCACTGTACAGCTGTACATGGTGCCCTCATTGTGAACCTCTGTGTGCTTCTGCAGATCGCGCTGGTTCTTAAATCTGTGGGGAAATAAAGATGGAAACAGTTAAAATTACTGGCGACTGTAGCTTTTACCCCTCAGCCTCCCTGTAGATGCACCTCTGGTATAAATGTAAAAATCCAAAGTGATTTTCAGAATAGTTGACCTCACTGAGATTCCAACCTGAGGGAGATTTGGTGTCAATTTCAAATACTTGGTGACATCTTTTTCGAGTTATCGCATTTGCAAGATCTTTAGAAAACTTGACCTCTGACCTTGAGGACCAAGTCACTGAGTTTCAAACTCATCTGAGACTTTTTGTAGAATCACTTATGGTATGAATTTAAAAATCCTGTCGCCTCCTTTTTTGTATTCACAAATTTGAGTGTCCAAGCCGCCTGCACACAGGGTTACGACAGCACCCCATCAGCCTTTCAAGGCTGAGGGGTAAAAACTGATTTTGGTAATAAAGATGTGGCTCTAGCAGCATTCTCACTCACATGTCACGTGTTTGAGCCTCTTACTTCTTACTTACTTATAGTTGTTTACATTTTCAATACAGATGAGTCAAAAATTGCACTGCTACTTAAAAAGTCCCATATTATGGCCCGTTTCTACCCTCATATGTTCTATTAATATGTTTTTCAAGTTTCAGCTAAAAAATTCCTCACAGGTCACTAATTCTTCCCAACCTTTATACCCCTGCTTTTAACTCATCTCCTAACAGGGCGTATCTGGGGGCTTTAAAAGCAAACGAGCTGCTGTGCGACTGAGCTCCAGCCAGGAAGAGTCACAGCACACAGCTCTACTGAGTATATAAAAGAAATAAAATTACACACTGCAGAGTTTTTCCTGGCTCGAAATGGGCTGTTCTGAGGGATGAATATGCACATAAGCAGGACTGGTCAGCATAGGCAGTAAAGTCTGTGTTACTGAACAGAAGTGCCTGCATTTTCCTGTTCTTTGTGGTTACTTCATACATAAAAATGTCTATTATGCTTGAGTAAACAACACCCCAAATGAAACTGAAACAGTTACAAACATCTGTATGTCAATCCTGCTGGTTCTCCTTTGGGGGAGGGTCAGTTGGAGATGATGATTAGGCTGTTCTGACATCACAGGAGGCTGCAAACCAATATATCTCATACAGAGACATAAATGATTGAAAGACAATAAAACAAGGAACTGGTTTCTTTTTTCATATTTTGTGGCTCTTTCTTTAAAAACCTCTTTAAACACAATATTTTAACGAACCTTTCCTAATAGTTTGGTTAAGGTCTTATTAGGAGAATTCCTTAAAGGGTATACAATATTTTTAAGGCACGACTAAAGACTGGTTACATTTGAAGCAGATATTAAAGGGAGTATTTTGACTAAAAACATATAATAAAAAGATCTAAAGAGCAGATATTATCCTGAGCTCATTTCCAGCTCCCATTTTTGTTCTTTGACTCTATACTAGAGTAGCTTTGCATAAATCACAGTTAAGAATAATCCCTGTTTGTTATATACCAGGCCCACGGTGCACCCACTTTGTTCTTCCTCAGTCTGAAAGACCTTTTTTAGCGAATCCTGTATTCACAAACAGAGCTGTGTACCTGAGAGCACCATGTTAAGGATACTGACAAGCTAAGAGCAGAAAACTGTGAGAAATCAAGCATTTAAAGTCACATGAAGGCTGAGTTTTTGCCTCACAGGGATTACTTGCACATACACAAACTGAAGGAAATAATGAGTGAGCTGGAATGAAAACTTCCTTGTGACTTTGGATGTGAAAAATGCTACATGGTTCCTCACAAATACACGATTTAAGATGTTAATGATAAAAAAAATTTTATGGAAGAGAATTTTACTGAAATAGCTGAAACTTGATAACCCAGCTTTCGCTGCCAGATTAAAGAAAACGATGGAGTTAAGAGTGTGTTTGCTGTTAACTGAACACTTGATGAGCTGTGTTGGAGGATCTACCTTTTGTCACAGAAGTCGCACGGGAACGGACGCTCATCACAATGGCGGAACCTGATGTGGATCTTCAGAGCAGCCAAAGTGGTGCAGGTCATGTCACAAAAGGGGCACTTCACCTGATTCACTGAGAGTAAAAAGAAAAAAAAGGCGGGCTATGCATGTAACAGATGATCAAACTGAGTCAGAGATCCACCATGGATCTATTAACGTTTAATAACTAACAGATCACAAAGAAACTGAAATAGATCAGATTTTGTACACCTGACCAACCAAATGACATAACTCAGTACAAAATAAGAGCTCAATGAATACAAATCTAAAGACCACACAGTAGGGAGCTTGACAACAGAAACAAAAGAAAATCTGTAGCAATATGCGATAAACTGCTCATAAACCGCTCTCTCCATTTCTAATATTTCAAGACAAACAGCCATAAAAACAATTTAATCCCAAAAGAAAACTTAGAAATAAAACTCACCATGCTGACGAACATGATCCCGCAAAAGCCTCTCGCTGGAAAAAGCTTTCCCACAGTGTTCACAAACCAGCGTCTCTGTTAGGATAAGTACACATACAATCATCAGCAATAAGGCAGCGCAATTAAAACATCAACATCACAGAAATTTAATGCGAGCTTAAGCGTCCGTCTCACCTACTGGCTCAGCTTGCCTGTGCAGGTGGTCAAACAGCTTTGTGTTGCTGGAGAACATGCTGCCACACGTAGGACAGGCGACAAGGCGCTCCTGAGTATGGCTCCGCATATGTTCCCTCAAACGGTATCTGATCTTGAAAAAGGCGTCGCAGCCTGTGAACAAAACGGGAAATGTCACACGGTGTCCAAGGAGATAGCGTCTCACCAACGTTTAAAAAACTCCCGGTCGTACCTGCCCACTGGCAGAAGAGCGCCTGCTGTTGTTGAGGCAGAGACTGTGGTTCAGCACTTTCTATGTGGTTGTCCACATGTCGATAGAACCACTCAGGATTATTAAATGTACACTTTAAAAAAGAAAACAAGGAAAAAATAAATAAATCCCATGATAATATATCAATCGTTTAGTGAAGACTGGATAACTTAAATGAAAAATACGTACATCACATTGCTCCCACTGGCAAACATATCCGTCTGATCCTTCAGGGACCAGATTGTTGCTGTGCATGCCTTGATTGCAGCTGGGAAGATCTGGACGGGACTTGAGCAGCTGTGACCCAATGAACTTGAGCTTCCCATGGTAGTTGTGGAAATAAGCATGGACCTCCAGCTCTGCAGGGCTACCCATGGAGAGAAATTCGCATCCATTCCAGAGACAAGCATATTCATCTAACGAAAAAGAAAGAAAGAAAGAAAGAAAGAAAGAAAGAAAGAAAGAAAGAAAGAAAGAAAGAAAGAAAGAAAGAGAATCAGTAATTATTGCAATGTCATTACAGAATGTTTAAAGCAACTTTAAAAACTTTAAAGCACCCACATGTCCAATAACATGAAAACCAGATTAACCGTGATCAGCATGAGGTTGAGAAGTATCCCATCGTATAGTCTGGTGTTGAGTAGAGACAGTTGCTGTCACAAAATAAAAATAAAACCATGTACTGGCAAAATCTGACTGTAGCTACAAAAGCAGTTTTACTTGTGACTCAAATGAAGCAGGGGGCTTTATAGCGCACTCTGCAGCACTGCCATTCGTAGCATTTGTAATATAAGCAGGTTATGGTTAGATGATGCAGAGATGACTGGTAGGGGTGAGTGATTAAAATAAGCATTTACCAGTAAAATAGTACAGACATCACAAAAAATTCTAATAATCACAATTAGTTTAATCCATAAACTTGCCCCTTTCATGATTTTTCTTTTTTTTTTTTGCATATTTGTTTCAGATCATCAAACTAGTTTTAATATTAGCTAAAGACAATCTAATATCTACAAAGGCAGTATTACTGAATCACCAAAATTACTCTAAGAGCGCCTCAGCGACTCATCCAAGAGGTCACAAAAGAACCCAAAACAAGAAAATGTGCCACAGCCTGGCCGATGGAGGGACAAAAGTATAAGAGAGGATGAGCTGAAAGGCAAAACAAGAGAAATGCTGCAAAACAGAAAACAGCACAATGATATTTTTTATCTCTGTAATCTTGTCCATATAAATCACTGTAAGCCAAAATTTATTTTAAATGACAATAAAATCCAATCCCTTGCACTGATCTACACACAACCACAATGAGAGTTCAGTAACAGAAGCACCTCTTTGTAAAATTCAACAGGCATATTTAAACTGGACAACACTTGGACCAAACACTGACCATTAAACCCCATGCTAATAAACTAAATGTGCTGCCCAACAAAAGCTGACCCCTCGCCCACCCCTGCACGCAAAATCGCTTACCCAGCTCCTCCAGGGCATCGTTGTCCCCCAGGTAGTCCTTCAAATGCAGACACATGTGGTCGCTGAGCTCCTCCATGGAGCGGCCCGTGAAACTGCACGAACCCCACTCACAGACCACCTCAAAGTTCCCGAGTCTCTTTGTTGTCATCATGTCGTTGAGTCCTGTGAGCTCAGCCCCTCACACCCTAACCAGCCGCACAGAAAGTAGGCACATACGTTTAACCCAGAGAGAAAAGGAAACGTTAAACTACGACATCTAAATTACTAAAGACGCCGTTTTGCTAGTTAGCATATGCTAACAAGGACTGATGGTGTCATGGAAACTGAAACATGTCTGTAAATGTTTGAAGAGTCATTAGCTGAAGTTAGCGCCAAAGCTCTCACTATCTGACTGAATGAGTAACTAAAACCACATCAAAACATATATTTTTTAAATATATATTTTTGGTCATAACAGTTAATGAGGCCGTTCACAGCTAACAACAGTTTACTTCATCCTTAAGAAGTTGTGTTTGTGCAGATGATGTTTATCTGGCTAACAGATTAGCTCCCGCGAAACCTGTCACAGGTCTGTGCTCTTTATCCGACTTTTCCTAAATTAATACAGCTTGTACATTTTAACCCGGGATTGTATAAATTCATACTGTTGTTTCTAACTCTAGTGATACGCAAGGTTTTCATAAATGTTTCTTACAGCAGTTAATATCACTTTGTGCAGCAGATCTGAGCTCCTCCTTGCTCTTCCCTCCTCTCAGCTTGTTTGGCTTTGTTTATTTCCTGTCGCTTCTTCTTCGTTTATTATTAAAACTGTGCCGGGAAAGCTGAGCATATCGCCACCTACTGCACTGGAAACCGCAGCAAACTAAAGCCTGAAGTAAATAGCGTTTTGTTTTTATACACTTCTTCTTATTATTATTATCCCCTCTTCTGCTTCTTCTTTTTCTTCTTCTTCTTTCAGCTTCTCTCTTTAGACGGTCCCACAATGGATTATCTACATCTATCTCTCTATCCTTCTATCACAAATCACCCCTGAAGCTCATCTACACCCACTCCACCCTGTCTGCACTCTCTTCTTCTCTGGATGACTGATTCCAGGTATTTAAACTCATCCAGCTCGAATTTTATGGCATTATTTTTGTGCCACGCCATAAAATTTCAATTTGAAATAAATACATAAACTCAAAGAAAGGTGAAAGAAAAGAAAAATTGTTTCTTATTTTCTTAAAATAAATCCTCACATTTATGAGAAAAATGTATTTTGTAGTGAAGGAACAAGTCAACCCTTCCCTTTGTATCCTAAAATTAACTTTAAAAAGGTCCAATTCTAGACCTCCTTAAATGCTGTGATGATATCATGATTTTGGGCTACAATTAATATTTCTTTATTGTATCAGACTAAATATATAAATATAATTTAATATGGTTATTTACTGCAGGGATAATACACACTCCACACACACACAAATATACATTATTTTAATTTGTTCTTATCTTGTATTTACATTTTAATATCCATAAAACATAAAATAACAAGATCCTCGGAATGAATATGGAGTAGTATGGTTTAGTTACGGAGTTTCATTTAAGTAAAAATACTAATAAAATACTTCAGTACCTGCCCTGAGTTCACTTAAAGTACTATTTAGGAAAGTATAAAAAAAAGAGCATAAAATAGTCACAAACATAAAATATTTTATATCATAAGATTATTCATATGCGGTTTAAATTCAGCCAGTTTAGTTTAGTTTAGATGTTGTAATCAACTTTTTAGAAAAACTATATATACATTTCTATATTAATTGATCAGCTCAGTTATGATTTTATAGTAAAAGAATCTCAACCCTGTGTTTAAGTAGCACCACTGATAACCTCGGAAAGCCTTCTGTCTTCTTTGTTCCTTCTTTGGCAGTGCAGTTAAACCACAGCTCTTATGTCTGTTTTTATCTGTAAACGCCAGACCAAACTCCTCCCAGGAAGTGACAACAACTTCTCCTCCACCCTGTCAGCATTTCCTCCAGACACAGAGTGTGAACAAAGAAACAGACCTGTACAATAAGGACTGCCGTGATCAAGCTATTTCACGTGCAGTGGACGGATTAAATGATAGCAGTAATTTTCACTGTTAAATAGTCCTCTCTTGTATAAATTCAGAAATGTTTCCTGTCAGTCTGAAAATCATCCATGCATGCAACTTTATTCTTTATTTTATTCACTTTATTTATCTGGAATGATTTTGATCTTTGACCAAAATCTCTGCATTTTTTCTAGTGTGGTTGATAATTATGACCCAGGCTTAATTATTCCCCTTCTGTTGTGCTGTACTATACTGCATTCTTACACTGGGAAGGTTTCACATGTTGTTAATAGACAGAAAAGAGATGATTTACACCTGAAGGAACTGGTTATCCCTACCAGCCTGAGAAAGCCCTTAATGCCAACAGAAACAGGAAGCCACTGTAAGCAGAAGGAAACCTGAGATCAGCCTGCAGCCACCTTTCAATCAAGGCTCACAAGGTTCACTGTCAGATTGTGCCATAGATCCCCTCCACTAGAGGTCATGATTTGCTGACCGTCAGTCCTTTGTCTGTCAAAGAAATACAATATTTTCACAAGAGTGCGTGTCTCCTAAAGTGAAGTCAGTGCTACACTAATAAAGTTGCTCAGTGTTGCACAAAATGCAGGTATTCATAACAGCAGCCTTATACTGTGGTGCGCATTCAAGGTGATTCATTCCTCTGTGTTCTCAAAAATGAGCGGCTATAAAACGAATAAAGTGGGAAATCATCGGCAGTCTCTTCTGTGCTGTGAATATTTAATACAAATATTGTACATGCCATTTCCCCCACACATGCATTCAAGCCTAAACCCTTTTTACTGTCACAGCTCCTGTTTTATTTGTGACGGTCACTGAAGTTTATTGTTTCCACCATAATGAACTTCAAAAATATACAATACAATATAATAAGAATATATAATATAATAAGAACTCTTACTTGCACCAACAGTACAATATAGGGAGGGACCATGACCAGCCACAAATGTGTTTTAGGGCAGGGGGTGGGCAGAGCCTAGGCAGCTCCAGCGCCATTGCTGATCTCTTATTCAATATTTCATGCTGCTCTGCAAACACGAGGGCCCATAACGACTGAATTATTGATGCAGATTTATGTCAGGATGACTGATTCACAGGAAAATGACCACCAGACACCAAAAAGGATGATAAAGGGATAAATAAATGTTTCTTTCCAGTCTTACATCCGCCCTTTCATGATTTTATTAACAGTGAGTGTTTTGTTTTCAGATGAGAGCACTTTGGCTAGCTTGTTTAAACTGAACTGAACGATGCTCGCATAAAATATATTTATGCAACCTTTAAATGGCTCTCAATTTTACCAGAGTTTGGAGGAGGGAACATCTGCAGAGCACAAACTGTAAGGTCAACAGAAAACAACAAAATCCAGACTTGAAGGAGAATGTCTCAGATTTCTCTTCTGGAGAAATGCAAACCAGCAACACTGAAGTTAAATAGCAATTCAGTACTCTTGCTTAATTATTTAGTTCAAGCCTTGGCACAGATACCCTAAGTTTTCAGTTGACTTGGCTTTCTTTGGAAATTCTTCAAGATACAAGTATCTCTTGATGCAAAAAATAATATTTTAGGAGGTTAGATGTAAGTTGTAGAAAGATATTTCAAAGAAAACATGAGTAACCACACAGATTTATCATCACTTCATTTCTCCTGGACTTCCCCTCCTTGCATTTTTATGTCAGTCTACACTGGCTACTTTATAAGGTACAGAAAGCTAGTGCTAACCCCTTTTGCCTTCAGAGTTGTCCTTATTCTCGGCATAGATTCAATAAGGAGCTGGAAAAATATTTGATATTTGATACGAAAGCATCACACAGTTGCTGCAGATTAGTCGACTGCACACAACATGTGTGATGTTGATCTCCCGTTCCACCAGATCCCAAAGGTGCTTTATTGGATTGAGATCTGGTGAGTGTGGAAGCCAGTTGAATACAGTGAACCCCATGTTCAAGAAACCAGTTTAAGATGATTTAAGGTATGTGACATGCCGCATTATCCTGCAGGAAGCAACCATCAGAAGATGGGTACACTGTGGTCATAAAGGGATGGACTTGGTCAGCAACATTAATTGGGTTGGCTTTGGTGCTTAAATAATGCTCATTTGGTTACTAATAGGAAACAAAATGTGCCAAGAAAATATCCCCCTTACCATTACACCACCAGCAGCCTGAACTGTTGATACAAGGAAGGATGGATCCATGATTTCATGTTGTTTGTACCAAATTCTGAGCCTAACTCACCAGACATGGACACGTGTTACCAATGTTTTATGGTTTAATTTCTGAACTGTAGCTTCAGTTTCATGACAGGAGTCATGTTATCTTCTGCTGCTGTAGCCCATCTGCTTCAAGGTTTGACATGTTGTGCATATTCAGAGATCCTCTTCTACATACCTTGATTGTAATAAGTCTTTTTGAGCTGTTGCCTTCCTTCCTTTTCTCTGACCTCTGGATATTTGTGATAATGAGCAGCTGAACAGGTGTACCTAACAAAGTGGACAGTGACAGTATATGAAATTTACTTAACAGGATAAGCTGTTGCATTTTAATAAACACTAAAGTCCAAATAAATTCAACAAGTCACAATGCAGGATTCTGCATCACTTTAATCAGTTCATCCAAAGCAAGCTGAGAATACAAGTACAATATCACAACAGCAGTATGACATACGCATGTCATATCATCACTTCACTCTGGTCTGACGCCACGCGCAGTCCAAACCAGACAGCATATAAGATGAGAGATATAGCACCAGAGTGTCGGAGTGCATAGCAGCACTTGTAGTGGTTGGGTCAGACTTGATGCTTAGCAGGCAGCAGGCTGAAGAGGTCAAACACACACACGCACGCACAAAAAAAACTTTCACTCAGTTATCACTCATGCACTCACACACACAGAAGCTAAAACTGGAAGCAGACCCACGGTGGCTAGTGCTAGACTGGGCCCTCACACACTGCGGCCGTGTCGGCCACTGAGGGTATCACGGTATACGTCTGTGTTTACAACCAGAGAGGGAAGGCTGGGCTGTGATGACTTTTTGAGGTCATGTCACGAAGAACTCATGCGAGTTTTAGATTTTCAGACAGCAGCAGTTTAAAGAGTCCTGGCCCATTCCTTGTCCTTCAACACATCAGTGCATTCAGTGTGAAAAATGTTGAGCAAATCTAACTAGTTCTCTCTCTTTTTTTAGGCCTATTTGTCTTTTCTTTTCTTTTTTTAAATTATTTAGCACAACTACAGCGTCACAGCTCAGAGGGGAGGGTGGAGTACAATGCCACAAAGTACTGAGTCATCGTAAAAATTATGGTTTTCTTATTAAATCAAGGGAGTGGATCTCCATTTAGATTGCTTGTGGGTGAAACCATATTGCTGGTGTGTTTATTTTACAGCTTTAATAGCCACTAGACTATGATTTTACTCACTGTATGTACCTTTTTGGTGTGATCAGAATCTATTTCTACTCATGCATTATGTTTGAGAAGGATTTAACCCTATACATTTATCTTTGAAAGCTCAATTTACAAGCTAGGATGTGACTGTGACAGACAGTCAGCTAATGAACCGAAAACAGGGTCTTGCATGCAAGCTGTAGTAATTATATTACAGTTCACTTTCTATCTCAGCAGATATCATCCAGAACAATGAAATGAAAACCAGGACCATACAGCGGAGGCACTGTAATTCACTGTGAAACAGATTATTCACTTTTCACAAAAATCCCTTCATGTGATACAGAAAAACAAAAAAAGCCTCTCTTTGACTTTTTTCTTTTTGTTTACAATCATTTTAACACTGAATTCATCATCCATTCAGACAAAGGTAAAAATTCCCTTTCATACACACACTACATGTGTACCGATGGCTCCTTTTTAAGGTTTGCTGTCGAAACAGAACTCATAGAAACAATGTGCAAAATTATGTGCTCGATAATAGAAAGCATTTCTGTGCG